AGTTCTCTCCCCATCCTGTGACTTGGCCGACAAGCCCACCTAGAGTCAGGTGACTCTAGGGCCTGCAGCTTTGTTTGACCTTCTAATTACTATTGATCAGGGCCCATGCTCTGTAAAGTTAGATGTTCACTTGTAGAAAACTGATAAGGTGCGAATGATTTCCAACCAGAGGAGAAAATAACCCCAAAGGGTAGGGTTTTATTGCTTTATAAGATATTAACCAATTTTGTAACCAATTTAGTCATCATATTCCATCACTGTTTTTCATACGAGTTTCTCATATCCTCCTTTGAATCAGCTTTGCTCAACCCTCATTGAGTTAAATAAAATTTTGATTGTGTTCACTCTCTATTGCCTGAGAATTATGTTCACAATATTTTAAGAATTGTACCTTGGCACCTGGGGAAGCTAGATAGATGCTCACGTGTTCCACACACAGTCCTGGGGGGCTGCTTGTCACCTCACTGGGTCCTCCTTTTCCTGGCTCCCCTCCCCCTCTTTCTTCTTCCTCTTCTTCCCCTTCTTCTCCTCCTCTTTTTTCCCCGCTCCCTCTCTCCCTCCCTCTCCCTCTCTCTTCCCCCTCCTCTCTCTCTCTTCCCCTCTCTCTCTTCCTCTCTCTCTCTCTCTTTCCCTCTCTCTCTCTCTCCACCTGAAAATCCCTATTCCCCTCTGCTCCTAGCCCAGGCAATAAAACCAGGTCACATCTAGAGAAAACCACTTAAATGCAGTCATTACAAAACAGAATTGGGGCTTCCCTGGTGGCGCAGTGGTTGGGGGTCTGCCTGCCGGTGCAGCAGACGCGGGTTCGTGCCCCAGTCGGGGAAGATCCCACATGCCGCCGAGCGGCTGGGCCCGTGAGCCATGGCCGCTGAGCCTGCGCGTCCGGAGCCTGTGCTCCGCAACGGGAGAGGCCACAACAGTGAGAGGCCCGCGTACCGCAACAAAAAAAAAAAAAAAAAAAACAGAATAATTACCATCTTGGTTTGCCTTCCTGCACCTATATTCCTTCTTCCAGGCCTCTTCCTAGAAAAACAGGTGGTATTTGCCTTACTTGTATAAAGGATCCATCCTGGTGATATTCTTAAAAAGGGTGGGGGGAGGGGTCTAATTCAAGGTCATGTGCGTCTCCACCACTAGAAACCAACTATCCCCAAGTGTGCTTCCTCACGAAGTTACAGAAAAAAAAGTAAAAACCCTCTTCTCCAGGTAATCTGCTACAATATTTTTAAACTGATTATTGCTGTTATAGAAAAGAGCTTTTTTTCTTATTTTGTTTCCAACATCTCACAAAACTCTTTTATTTGCCATAATTAATTGTTTTGAGTTAATTTTACTGGGTTTTCTAGTGATAAAATTGGGTCTTTGGCAAATGATCATAATTTTCCCATAGCTAAATTTTGTAATCATGCTTCCCATCTCATCACATCGGCTATAATATGTGTTCTTTTCTATGATTAAAGTTTTGGGCAGCTATCAAGAAAAATGTACTGGCAAGCAAAGAGGCTAGGGACTGAGTAAGCAGCTAAAAAAACCCCACAATGGTAGTAATTTAAATGTGGGGTCGGGCTTCCCTGGTGGCACATTGGTTGAGAGTCCGCCTGCCGATGCAGGGGACACGGGTTCGTGCCCCAGTCCGGGAAGATCCCACATGCCGCAGAGTGGCTAGGCCTGTGAGCCATGGCCGCTGAGCCTGTGCTCCGCAACGGGAGAGGCCACAACAGTGAGAGGCCCACGTACCGCAAAATAAAAATAAAAATAAATGTGGGGTCATGGGACAAGGCCTGGACCAGTATCACGCCTGCAAAGGAGGAGATACAGGGAAGAGAGAGTTTAGACGCTGAACCAGCAATGAGGGCAGAAACCAACATGACTCCAGGTCTGCACGCCTGAAGCCCCGTGGTCCGCTTGAGTGCCCAGGTATGGTGGGGGTCCATTCTACCTTCTCGTATCCCACAGTGATTGTTTCAGGGATGGACACTTGATCCAGACCTATGCCAAACAAACCCTGGCATTCCCCATCTACATGACCCAAGTTAGTCCAATCAGACATGAAGCTCAGGAATTCTGTTGGATGGTTGGCTGAAGGGACGCCCCTCTCTCTCTCCCAGCATTTGGAGGAAGAAGCCTAGGAACTATTGGTACCCAACATGGAGAAACAAGCCTGAGCATCAGGATTAACAAACTCTGGATCAAACCCATCTTGAAGTTCATGCTACCTTTGCACTTTCACATCACATAAAAACTACACCTTCCTTTTACTGGGTAAGCCAGTATGTGCTGGGTCTTCTGGTACTTGCTATATAAAGAGTCCCAACTGATCTACCAGGAAATTGACAGTGTTTTTAATAGCTACTATAATCCTCTCACAGCATATTCATCTGAAAAGAGGTGTGACGGAGAAAAGTAATTATAATTCTCAGTTTACAAACATTGCCTCAAATGTGAGTTCAAGAGAGAAAGGAGCAGGTATTTTAATTGTCTACTCCATCTCCACATTCTCACACTTAATTTCTCTGCTCTCTAAATATATTAATTAACATTTTCATGCTTTCCAGTTTACAATGCAACTTCACATACTGACTCATTCGGTTCCCGTGATAAACAAGAGAGATGGGTGGTAACAGCAAGGCGTCATGTTGTGTAGCACTCAACAGTTTGCAAGGAGCTCTGTCTCAGTTTATTTTGTGTGATACTCGTACGCTAGCTCTTGCAAGTTCTCGACTCCAGGAAAACCGATGTAGTTCTCTTGGCCCACAGAAAACTGTTTCGCATTTCCGTGTCTTCACCTGTGTCACGCAGTCGATATGGTCCTTCTCACCTTGCTCACCAGGTGAACCACTATTCATACTTAAAAACCCATTTCAGATAGGGCACATGGTGTCTCTCTCCCCTGGAAGATGGGCAGGTGGTGTGGTCCTCAAGAAGTGTATTGCCTTTGCCAGATTTGTCGAGGTCAGCCAGCTGGTTGTTGGGATAGAATGGGGTCTCTGGCCAACTGTTTTGTGGTTTGGGGTAAACGTCATCCATCACCAAAGGAAAGACAGCCTCTCCACCAGCCCCCTGGCCATAAGAACCCGCTGCAAACTTGGCCAGATTTACTCTCTTTGTTATATGGAGGGAGAAGGGTCATATCAGCCTTAGCCTTGGGACATTTTTATTGGTTTCATGCTACTGGCCCTCAGGCCAATCCAGTCTTTAGGCCTTCAAACAGGCCTCAAAGATACTTGCAAATAAACCTCAGGCTTCTCAAATTGGTCTCAAAGAGACTCTCACCTGGATCCTCAGACCCGCCTCAGATGCGACCCTTCGATGGGCACAGATCAGAGCACAGACCTGTATCAGGAAGCCCCTTCCTCCAACCTCAGATGTTCCCTCAAAGACACCCTCCCAAGAGAGCCAGGACCCAGCTCCCACTGCCCACATCCCAGCCGGAGGTCTGTCTGGGGCCTGCAGGACTCTGTCCAGGAGTGCATCTGTGGGTCTGAAGCCCTGACTGGGGAAGACTCTAAGGCTGCTGGTGGTGGTCATGGTGACCAGCTAGATTTCCTAACTCAGAGTAGGTGGGACACTCGGTTTTCCCCATCTTATTGCCGCTCTGGTGATCCTAGTAACCAGAGTGGTCCTCTCCGCAGAATCAGGAGTCAGAGGGAAGAAGGGATGGGGAGAAATCTGCCCCATTGTAGGATAGAAAGAGTCACTTAGGGGGTGGGGGCGGGATGGAGATGAAGGAAGCAAAAGAGGTCTCCCAGGCCCTTTCTCTGAAGCTATGAGGCCTGTTTTCCCAGGGCTGTGGCACCAGGGCCCAGTACTTACAGGATCGGGTTATAAATGTCAGTGTGAAATCTACTTCCTGTGTCGTCAGCACAGGCTGGTCCACACCTGCGGGTGAGCTGTCGTTGACACACTGAATACCTCCACTTCCCCAACTTGCTCCTCCTCCAGGGCTCCCTGGCTCACAGGAGGGTCCCACATCCCCTTGACCACCCAGCCTGAGGTCCTCAGCTCAGCCTGGACCAATGCCACCCCAACCAGGCTGGACTCTTCCTTTCCCTCCTACCAGCCTCCAGAGTCAGTCTCCCAGAAACCACCTCTGAGCATATCAATCTGCTTTGGAACTTGCAGTGGGTCTCCACTGCCCATGAGATAAAGTCCAACGAAGTTCCTCATCCCACACTTTACAACCTGGCTGCCTCTGACCTCTCCAGAGTCCTCTGCTTGCACACACCGTACTTTCTGGCCAGATTCAGCCACGTCCACCTCTCACCTCCAGACCTTTGCTCCTGCCAGACCCCTGGGCTGGCTGCCTTTTCACTCTGCCTTTGCTGGGTTCACAAAGCCCTTCTCTGGTGGTGATCCCACCACGACTGCCCCTCCCTCCTTGGATCCTGTAGCATTTTCACCATTTCTACCAAAAAAAACAAAACAAAACAGGGTCCTATGGTTGGTGATAAGGACTCTGAGTGATCCACTGCTGAGTTCCCCCGAATGAAGTCATTCGTTGGGTCATCGTGTGTTTGTGGAGCGCCTACCACACTCCTGGTTCTGTCTGGGGCCTGGGGCACAGCCGTGATCAAGACAGGATGGGACTCATACTGTACCGTGGGTGTTAATTCCTGGGTGAATCCTGGCTTTTGCAGAGACCTTAGCTTCTTTCACGGATACCTCTCCAGACTCGGTGTCCAGCACCCCAGGACTCCAAAGCAGCCATTCCCTACCCCTGTTTGCTCATCCACACAATCGCCTGCCATCTGAATGTACAGAGCAGGTGTGCACACAGGCACCTGGGCATGGGGTCCTGGGGGCAGGGGATGGGGTGGTGAGGGCTGCATGTAAACGTGTGCGGGGCCGTCCGGGGTGCACAGTGGTGCTGGGCGGCCACTGCCCTCCATGTCGCCTGTCTGCGCATCTCGCCCAGCCCCCCGGAGCTAGAGGCTCCCAGCACACTGTGCTCCTGCTGCTTAATTTTGCTGAACACCGAGTCCCAACCCCGTGTTAACTGGTTTTGCTCCAGCCTTTTGTGCCTCCCATTAAATGAGGAAATGCCACCCATAAAATTTTAATTTTAAAAGCCAACTTGTTTGTTTTATGTTGAAATTCCCCAGGCAGCTCCAGCAGAGGGAAACAGACACGTTTTCGTTTCATTAAAGCAACTTGAGTGAAGATAAAAAAAGAAGCTGAAAAATTAGATTTAAAAACAGAGCAAGAAGCATTTAAAGAAAATGAATGAAAAATGAGCTGCCGCGGTGGGCGGCGGGAATCAGGCTCCACTTCTGCCCGCCTGCGCGCCTGCAGGGAGATGGCGGAGCAAAAGAGGGAGTCGGACACCCTTGGCTGGCGCCCCCAAAAAGCCAGACCGTGGACTCCCTCCTCCTTGAAAGTTGCAAAGTGCTGCTCACTTGGCTGAGGAGTACCATTAGGAAGTCAGTGACATCTGCTTCAGCCACCAAAGCAGAATTTCCAGGTTCTATGTCCTAGAGGAAGCAGGCTAGAGGGACTCCACCACTGGGCCAGCAGCATCCTCTTCCTCAAGGACAAACTGCATGATGGTCAAGCCAACTGGGTGGCCCTGGCTCTACCACTTACCAGCTGCATAATGGAGGGCAAGTGGCCTCAGTTCTCTCATCTGTAAAATGGGAATCATAATGTTACTTGGGGTTCATAGGGGTGTTGTGAGGATTAAACAGGTTAATACACTGAAAACACTTAAAACAGAGGCTGGTATGCAGTAAGTGTTTAATTAATGGTAGCTTTTACTACTCTCATCCTGCCGCTACTCTTCCACTCCCTGCTCCCTTCCTCATCTACACATCCCCTCACCACTCAAAGGTCCTTTTAATGATGTCCCTGAGCTAAAGACAGCTAAGAGAGACTGGGGGGTGGGAGGAGCGGCGGGGGTGGGTGAAGAGGTCTGATGAAAGATTGGGAAACCCCATTCCATGGCAATTCTTTTTTAATTTTTTTTCAACTTATTTAATTTTGGCTGCATTGGGTCTTCATTGTTGCGTGCAGGCTTTCTCTAGTTGCGGCGAGTGGGGGCTGCTCTTTGTTGCGGTGCACGGGCTTCTCATTGCAGTGGCTTCTCTTGTTGCAGAGCACAGGCTCTAGGTGCACAGGCTTCAGTAGTTGTGGTACACAGGCTCAGTAGTTGTGGCTCGCGGGCTCTAGAGCGCAGGCTCAGTAGTTGTGGCACGTGGGCTTAGTTGCTCCACAGCATGTGGGATCTTCTTGGACCAGGGCTCAAACCCGTGTCCCCTATATTGGCAGGCAGATTCTTAACCACTGCGCCTCTAGGGAAGCCCCCATGGCAATTCTTGCAGGCCAAAGAAATTCATTAAAATGTTATTATAGGGCTTCCCTGGTGGCGCAGTGGTTGAGAGCCCGCCTGCCAATGCAGGGGACACGGGTTCGTGCCTCGGTCCGGGAAGATCCCACATGCCGCGGAGCGGCTGGGCCCGTGAGCCATGGCCGCTGAGCCTGCGCGTCCGGAGCCTGTGCTCCGCAACGGGAGAGCGAGAGAGGCCACAACAGTGAGAGGCCCGCGTACCGCAAAAAAAAAAATGTTATTATAATCCTGTCAAGGGAAGCCAGGCTCCCTGGGTTCAAAGTCCAGCTCCACCACTTACCAGCTTTGTGTTCTTGGGCAAGAGTCTTCTGGGCCTCAGTCTCTGCATTACTAAAATGGGAACAATAAGTGGATCAGCCACACGTTGTCATGGAAATCTAATAAAACAAGCTCTACGGAGTGTCCAGCACTGCTAAATGCCCAGTAAATGGCCGATGTTCTGCATCAGGTCTGGGGGTCCGAGGCTGTGGAGGTGGAGAAGGGGCTGGGCAGGTGGTACCATAACAGTGACCTCACCTCCCTGTTCACGGCTGTAGCCATGGAGTCATTACTAATAGCGCTCCCTTTCATTCTCTAAAGTGTTCTAATCTGGATGACTAATTATATGGTCATCCTACTCCAAATCCCCCACACCAGTGAGGGGGGCTCAGAGCTTGCCCCCCGGGGTTCTGGGGAAAAAGTTCTGACCCTTGACCTGTTTTCTGCCTGACTACAGAGTCCTATCCTGGAGCCCTAACCTCACACTTGGCTCGGGCTAAAGAAGCTCATTACCTCAGTCAGCGAGATGAAGAGTCCGGGTGGGGAGAGGCTGGGGAAAGGCCAAGGGTGCCCGGAAGTCACTGGAAATGGAGTCTGGGACTCCAACCTCCTCTCGCCGCTGAGGGCAATTTACGCAACTCCTGATGCTCTACTTCCTCTTCTCTCCAGGCAGTTGGGGGTGGAGGGATTAGCCACAGCGCTATCCTTACCAACCGTTGCAAAGATCAAATCAAACCAGGGAATGGATGTGAAACTGCTTTGTAAACTGTAAAGTGTTGCTCACTTTTGACCATCGGGAGGTCAGTGACATCTACTTCAGCCACCGAAGCAGAATTTCCAGGTTCTCTTCCTGGAGGTGACCAGAGATGGGGACAGAGAGGGTCACAAATGGGGAAGGGGCGATCTGGCCCAGTGCCTTGGCACGCAGAAGTCCTGTAACTCACAGCACTGTGTCCTGCAGAGCCTGACCCACTACCCACAGGCCCCCAACACCTGCCCAGGGCCCTCTGGCCCCCTCAGAGACCCATCCTCCAGGCGGCAGCAACGGCTGCCCAGCAAGCTCCATCCCTCTGACTGCGGGAGCTGCCTTCTCAGAAAAGCTCAGAGAGGACATCTTAGTGGCTGCAAAGCGGCACCCTTTTTATTCTAGGCAGAATTCTTTTCCCGTAGTTCCCAAATGGTACACCAAGGAACACCTCCCTACTCCCACTCGCCACCCCCGGCAGGATTTAATGACGGTTCTGAGAGAGTGGGACCCAGTAGGTGGGGCTCCAGACTCACTCTTGCCCCCTACCCTTTCCCCTCCTCCCCTCCCCCTTCCCCCCTCCCCCCTTCCCCCCTTCTCGCTCTCTTTAACCAGAGTAGCTCTATTTTATATATTCTTTCCAAGGTTTTGCTTGCACAGAAATTTCCACCGTTAAAATACTCTTTCAGCTCCTCCTCTTCTCTTCCTTCCTTCCTGAAACATTCAGTCCTAAAACCATCAGGGGCAGCAGAGCAAGGGAGACATCTGCATGGGGGTAGGGGAACCACGGCGGACAGGCGGGAGGTGTCACAGCGGGGTGAGGAGGGGTCCACGTTGGGGGAGGCAGCCTCACACAGGGTGTCAGAGCCCCAGCAGGGTGGGGAGAGTGTCTATCCCAAAGGGACAGCCTGGCCTGGAGTGTCAGAACACAAAGGGGGTAAGGGGGCAGCCACACATGGGGGCAGCTCGGGGTGAGTAGGGCAGCCACGTGGGGGGCATGGGCCCAGCGTGGGAAATCAGAGGCCAAGCTGGATAAGGAGGGGGACAGGCTGGGATCCTAAGGCAGTGGGAGGAGGGGGTCTAAATGGAGGGGGCAGTAACCCTCCCTGGGGACTCAGAGTCTGAAACAGGGCAGTTCAGAGAGAGGAGGGACAACCCAGGTCACCACCACTCAAGCCTCCCTCTCCCCCTGTCCAAATCTATTCTAAAGCCAAGGTGGACCTGGAGCCCTTCCCAAATCAATTGAAGTCATCAAATATTCACTGAGCCCTGGTGATGTGCTGGACAGCATGCTGGGTGCTGGAGGAGAGAGCCGGGACGGAGCATGACAGCCCAGAGGGCAGGATGGCTGGGAGCCCACCACCATAGGACAGGAGTGACGGGAGCACCTGGGGGACAGGGGGCAGCGGGACCTCTCAGGGGCATCAGGAACTGTCCAGAGAAGAGGCAAGCTGAGCGGTGAAAGAAGATGACTTTGCCAAGTGGGCCGGGATGGGGGCAGCAATGACTCTGGACCTCGATTTCTCCCCCTGCCCATCCTCACCTGCCCAGGTTCATCCCATCCCCAAGGGCCAGAGCCACCAAGAGCCTCACAAGAGGTCTTTCCATCCTGGGACCCCAAGGACTCACCCTAGGCACAGGCCCTTCGGGATAGACAGGGAGCTTCCGGGGCCGCCTCACTTTTGTCCACACCCCACTTCACCTGGGGGCTCGTCTCAATGGGAAAGTCCCCCCTCTGCTTTCTTTTCTGAGGTTCAACATCTCTCATCATTGAGACATTTTGCCTGGTGCTTAACTTGAGTCCCTCTTGCTTTCTTTATTAAGAAAAATGGCTCGCTGAGGCCCTTCCCCGATACTGCTGAAACACTGATAAAATCTGTCCCAGGAGAAGGTCGGGGGAAGCTGACCAGGTCAGTGAGTTGGGGGATGCACCAAAACCCTCCCTCAGGCACAGGCTCCGCTCCCAGTCCTTATTTTTTTCTCAAAAGCCCTAAGCTACGATCCTTCCTTTGGGGGCCCCTCTGTCCTTCCCACACCTAGGTGAGATCCCCACTCATGCACCCCCAGCACGACAGTCCTTAGCCTGACTCCTCAAAGGGCCCTTTCGGCAGAGAAATGCTGGCAGGGTCCCACTCCAGGTGGTCCCTTCCATTTGGGCCTCAAGGTGGCCCGGCCCAGCCTCGAAAAGGAACGGTTGGACTCCATATGGCCTGACTTTCAGGCTTCAAACGGCCCCAGGAGAGGTCGAGGCTGGACCCCATAAAGGACTTCCTTTGGTTGAGATGCGGCAATGACGTTCTCGTGCCCCGCTTCCCCGCGGTCACCACGAGGGGGCGCCACAGCCCAACCCACGGGCTGTGTTATCAGAGGCCCGGCGCTGTCGCCGAGGAGCCAGGGAGGGTCTGGCGGGCCCCGGGGGCTCTGGGGTGCGGGGCCGTAGAGAAGCTGCTGAAGGAGCCCGAACCACCTGGCCGGAGGTGATACGCCCGCGCCACGCGGCCGGGACTCGGGAAAGGGAGTGGCAACGGGTTTTGCCTAGTCATCGCCTGCGAAGACTCGCGTCACCTCTGATGTCAGGGCTTCCAGAGGCTTCGTTCCAGTTCCGGGCTCCAGGAAAGAGCGTCGCGGGGCGCAGAGGTTACACAACTTCCCCCAAGGTTGCGTCGGAAAGGACCCGCAGGGCCGGAATTCGAACCCGCCTCAGCGAGCATGTACCCGCCTGCACGGTCCGCAGGTGGCCGGGCTCCGCGTAGCATCCTTTCCACAGCCCGCGCCGGCCTTGGCCTGGCTTCCTTCTTTCTCGTCTCTCATATGGTCTTTCATGGTAAGATCTCCTTGGCAGCCTTATAATAAAAAAGAGCCTCCTGAAACCACAAGTGTTTTTAAATGAATTCAGGTCCCAAATTCCTGGAGTACGGGGGGGAGGCGGAAGGTGACGGAAAGTCTTTCAGCGTGAAAGTTAGACGTCAAGGGCGCGGAGCCCTCCCCCGACCTCCAGAGCTGGCGCTGCGGAGACACGAGGGCCCTCATGAGTCTCAGGAAGTGTCTCCTTTTGAGAACAAACCGGTCCTTGTGCTCTGTTTGGAGTCCATTTCCATTATGAGAAATCTCCTTTTGAGGATGGACATAGTCAAATCCAGATGTTGGCCTCGCAGAACAAAAAGCTCCCTCCAAACTCTCTTTATGAAGAAACAGGTTCTCATCCTTTGAAGGAATAACATCTCTTGATAAGTGGAATTTTTTTCCCCCAGCCAACAACCTTCTGCTCTGAATTTGTTAAAACCGCTTTAATAGCCCGTCTCTGTTCCATTTCTGATGCCAGGATGGCAGTGACAAGGTGGAATGTCACCAGCCGCTGGATTCAATAGATTCAGTATGGCTTCACTAAGAAGAGAAGGCTGGATTTTTTTTTAATATACATCATTTATTTAGATAGATTTCTTTTAGTTCAAGACATACATTCTAATAGGGCAAATGTAAGATGAAATACAGATTGTCAGAACAACATCCCAAATTGTACACTTCATTTTGCTGATTCAAAAATGCTTGAATAACAACTTTTCAGAAAGAAGGATGCATTATTCACTAAGTGTACACACTGATTGTAAGACAATCCCAGTAATATTCATTTCTTAAAAGTACATCTTAAAATAGAGGAAATATGGACTATATATTTGTTGACTACAATATGTGTACATATAGCCAACAAGGATGTTTTATCAGTAAGGTCTAGTATTTTTGCTGAAACTGAGAGCTCGAAGCAGGAATCCTTTCCTAATTCTTCTTGCATACCACCAGTGATAGGATGCTCACTACCTATGAACACAATCCTTTTCATTGTGAGACAGTTCTGTCAGAGTTGCTTCTCAGTGCCTTGTCATCTCCGCGTTCTGCCCTTGGAGCAGGCAGGGTTACTGGTGCTCCCATCTCTGCCCCCTGAGTCTCTCTTCTCTGAAGTCAGGATCCCCGATTCCTCACTATCCTTTGCCCTCCACAAATTGGCCTCTGGTCTCTCCCTGTCCGCTCAAAGGTATGGCAACCAGAATTGAACCCAACCTTCCAGCTATCACCTCCCTCATCCTCAATCTATACCGCCAAAGATGCAGCCTGAGATCGTTTGGGGGCAGCCATCTTAACATGGGATTATATGGAACTTTCAGCCAAAACCTTTTTCATGAAAAATCTTTTCATTTTACATCCATCCCCATTCCATTTTACTTCAGGGAGTTTAGTCTATCATTTCGTCTGCTTTAGGTGCTTTCGAACCCTGGTTTGCATTTAAAATACCAGCCGCTATACCTAGTTTTAGGTCATCTGCAAATTGAATAAGCATGCTTTCTGCACCTTTACCCCAGGTATTTACATAATGTTGTGTGGTAACCTCACCCAGCCAGCCAGTGTCTCTAGGACTCAGTTTCCCTGTCTAATAATGAAAGGTGAAGAGATGAACTCTAGTACTAGAGCTTGTGTACTACCTGTCAGACACTACACCAAGCCCCTTGCAAATACCTCGATGTTAGTCACACCAGTTCTATGAGGGAGGCATTATTATCATCCTCCCCATTCTGCAGATGAGGAAAACAAGGCTTTGCAGGATTAGAATCCAGTTCTGTCTGGCACCCAATCCGATGCTTTTAGCCACAGCGGCTCATTGCCTCCCTCAGATATGATCTGGAATAGAGCCGTTGGGCCCCCAACAGCAGTCTTCTTACAAGTTGCTAAACAGCACTCCTGGGGCACCCCTCAAAGATCCCCAAGTGCCACGCATGGATCAGAAACAGTACAGAGCTGCAAGTTGAAGGGGAATTCAGAAAGGAATACCAGATGCTTCAATTATGACGTGCGTGTGTCTATGTGTCTGTATAGGTGTCTGTGTGGGTACAGATGATCAAAGACAAATGGTGATCACAGAAAAGCAGACCTCTGCCCCCCACCATGCCTTCAGAGCAAAGTGGATTAGAAACTTCAAGAATGACTGAAGTGAAGGTGTTTGCCAGCTCTGTGGAATTGGGGGTTTGGCGTCAGAACTTCAGGTAGGTTTCTATACATAAAGAAAGTGATGTTTCTTACACACCTGGTTAGTAGTCTGGGAGTCAGGCCCACCACACACCAGAGCCAGATGGTTCAGCCACATGGCCTCACTCCGTATTCCCAACAGCCCTTGAAAAAGACGCTATTTTCAGAGCTTCGTCTGTGGTAAAGCTAATGAGGTTTAATCTTGCAAGTGAGAGGCTCTCCCCAGATCCTACAGGGATAGTGCTTCACTTTACATTTGTCATTTTTAAGATCCCCCCCCCAACAAACTGCAGAAACTTCAGGCCCTACAGAACCTTCTCTTATTGCTTTTCCCCATTTTATAGATGAAGAAAAATGCGGCACAGAGATGTCAAGCAAGTTACCCAAGGTGGCAGAGCCAGGAGGTGGGGAAGTTGGGATTCAAACTCTTAACACCCTCAGATGAACCAACAAGGGCTTGAGGAGTTTTCCCAGGGGATTCATGTCTTTAAATGCAGTACTGGGTTATGTTTCCATTTCTGTATTTTAATCAGTTAAGAAATACTTTGTATTGGGACTTCTCTGGCAGTCCAGTGGTTAGGACTCTGAACTTCCACTGCCGGGGGCACAGGTTGGATCCCTGGTCCAGGTACTAAGATCCCACATGCAGTGCAGTGCTGCCAAAAAAAAAAATACATTGTATTAATTGTTTAAAGGGCATTGCTTGATTGAGAGACTGAGTGCTTGTCAAACGCAGTTACTCAGCCCTTTTATCACTTAGCTGAACACTGCCAGCCCCTGGCGTAGCTTTGCCTATGAAACAATTTAAAATTATTTTTAGTATAATAAATTTTTAGTCTATACCCATCATAGATCACTGGTTAAAGACAAAAATCCTTAAAAACAAAATTTGATGCTGAAATACAAGTTAATTGGGAAAAAAGTTAATGAAAATATTTCTGTAAATTCCTCCTATCTACACACTGCTTACATCTGATCATAATTTTCACACGTTATTTGATAAATACTGTTGGGACCGCCAAGAATCCACCAGGATAACTAAATTGGGTCCCTACCTTACACCTGTGCCAAAATTAATTCCAACCTATTTTATTTTGTTTTTTTGGCTGTGCCACTCAGCTTACAGGATCTCACTTCCCCGACCGAGGGACTAAACCCAGGCCATGGCGGTGAAAGCTAGGCCACCAGGGAACTCCTTCCAACAGATTTTTTTAAAAACTATACATAAAAAAAAAAAGAAACCATCGGGCTTCCCTGGTGGCACAGTGGTTGAGAGTCCGCCTGCCGATACAGGGGAAACGGGTTTGTGCCCCGGTCCGGGAAGATCCCACATGCCGCGGAGCGGCTGGGTCCGTGAGCCATGGCCGCGGAGGCTGTGCGACCGGAACCTGTGCTCCGCAATGGGAGAAGCCACAACAGTGAGAGGCCTGCGTACTGCAAAAAAAAAAAAAAAAAAAAAGACCAATAATTCAATAGAAAAATAGGCAAAGGACGTAAACAACTAGTCAGCCCCCAAAATGCAAATTGGTCTCCAATGTAAGAAAAGAGAACCTTCATCCTCACTTGCACTAAGTGAAATACGAGATACCATTTTGCATCCACTAGGTTGACAAAGATCAAAACGTCTGGTGACCATGGTGGGGCAAGGATATGGTGACATGGGCTGTTTTCATCATTACTGGTGGGAAGGTAATGGTACGATTTCTATGAAGAGCAATTTAGCATATTCTTCTAAAGGTCAGCACTCACATACCCTTTGTTATGGGTTGAATTGTGTCCCCCCACCAAGTTCACATGTTGAAGTCCTAATCCTCAGTACCTCAGAATGTGACCCTATTTGGAAATCAGGACATTACGGATGGAATTAGTTAAGATGAGGTCACACTGGAGTGGAGAGGGGTCCTCATCCAACATGACCGTTATCCTTATAAAAAGGAGAAATGTGGACATAGACACACACACACAAGGAGAACGCCATGTGAACGTCAAGGCTGAGATGAGGTGATGCAGCTACAAGCCAAGGGACACCAAAAGTGCCAGCAAACCACCAGGAGCCACGGAAGAGACCTGGAACAGATTCTCCCCGACAGCTCTCAGAAGGAGCCAACCCGGCCCCACCTGATCTCAGACTTCCAGCCTCCAGAACTGTGAAATGATAAATTTCTGTTGCTCAACCATTCAGTTTGTAGTACGTTGTTACAGCAGCCCTAGCAAACTAAGACACTCTTTGACCCAGCAAGATGAATTCATCCTATTATGTATTTGTGCAGTTGCAAAGTGGTAAGCAGATGGGGGTCTACTTGCAGTGTTGTTTGTAATAGCTAAAGGTCAGAAACAACCTAAATGTCTTATCAGTCACAAGCTGCCTAAATAATGGAATTATCTCAAAGGCCTATTAGGGAGTGAGAAAAGCAAGGTGTAGCTGGTTGTAGAGAGCACCTCGTTTGTATAAAAATAAAGAGAAACAAAGCAGAATGTATGTAAGCAAATATTTGCTTGTAGCTGCATAGATTCTATCTGGAAAGATACACAAGAAATTGCTAACTTCAGTTGTTCCTGGAGAACAGAAACACTTTAAGGACCATGGAAAGGAGATTTTGGTTCTACTCAAAATACACGTGTACCTTTTGAACCTTTTACATTGTTTATGTAACACCTGTTCAAAAAAAAAAAATCTGTGTATAACATCAAGATGCCTCTAGTACTTCAAAAACCAACTGGAGAAAGAAAATATAGCCATTTTAGCTTTTCATCTTTTGGAAATAACAGCTATTCATACCTGAAATGGGTTATTTGAGGAGATATCTTCTCTCTTACCTCTTCGTTTAGAAACAAAGCACAAAATGTGTTTTGAAAATAACCAAATAAATCACAAAAATGAAGCACAAGATGCCAAAATTCTAAACTCCCATGTATTGAAAGCAAATCTATTTTTTAATTCATAGCATGTAGTTAAATTTCAATCTATAATGACAATTTCAGCATACATTCAGTCTCCAAATCAAGCCTAACAAGATATTTTCAATTCATTTGTCTATAAATCTTAATTTTCCTCATAAAATTAATTTAAATTCTGTTAAACAGTTGGCATCACTTATTAAATAGGAAAGGGTCAAAAGTAGCCTTTAAAATAACAAATCTTACAAAATATACACTTTCTAATACAACCTTTGGAATCAGACTGATCTAAAATAAAATAAATTTTCTCAAAATATCTTCTTACCTTGCAAAAAAAAGAAATTATCTTATTTATTCGAAAAAGCGTTTGTGAGGTCATTGATCGCTGTGAAAACAATTGGAGTGTTCAAACATGTTGAGAAATACAACCTGGGCTCATCCTGTATGTTTGTGCAAGCTGCGAACTCTACAACTCCAGGGGGCGCCATTGAGATCATAATCCAAATTGTGCAGTGCACTGCCTGTGCAACCGGACATATCAATCCCGTGCCTACTGAAAATGTTGGGGGTCGTGGAAGGCTTCTGGGGAGGAGAGGGTAGGTGTCAGAGGTGGGGTCACATAGATTGGAAGGCCAGAATCTCATGCATATAGCCTCCCATCTCTCCAGGTTGACCTCCCTTGTGGGGGCACTGGCAACAGAAATATCCTGAGTTTTCTCTGAGCCTTACAGCCTTGGTTTTCCTAAGGTTGGTGGCGGGAGGACCATCTGCCAGGGCCTACAATCATCTCCTTGGCCTGTACAACTCAAAGTCCTCTTTAATCACTTAGCAGCTGAGAAGCAAGGCCAGAAGAAGGGACCCCACCATACCCTTCATTTTATTCCTACCCTAAAGGAGGCAGAGGTGGCTAGCGCAAGAGGAGAGGTGGAGGCAGCTGAACCTGAAATGATGTTCAGGACATTTGGCCTCCGGGACCAGCTCTACCACTGCCTTTCGGTGTGATCTTGGCAAACCTGTAAGCCTTTCTGGGCTTCTGCCTCCCTGTTTGCAAAATGAAGAGGATTATTGCCATTCTTTCTCTGTCTCTTGGAAAAACACACAAAAGAAGACAGAAAAACACAAAGCTGTGATTTCACAGGGAATGCATAGAAATTCAAGCATTCCGATTATTATCATTAAACATCAAGAATTTGTCAGGAGGCTCTGAGCAGCTATAAAACCTCAAGCAAATCTCATGACCTCCCTGAGCCTTCGTTCTACCATGTGCCAAATGGCAAAGCTTGAATTAGATCAGCAGTTTGCTGACCTTTTCACCACTAAGAGTCTATTTTATTATTTCAAAACCATCCCCACAGACCTCACATTTTGTAAGATTTTATCCCCTAAGCTGTATTTAGGTAATTATTGTATAATTAAGAAATATTAAGTAATTATTGTTATCATTATAAAGGATATTTTTGGTTGTGAGTGACAGAATTTATGGGCTTACATAGGCAGAGTCTAGAACTAGGAATACCTTCAGGCAAGGCTTGATCCAGCAGCTGTTACTGAGGACCAATGTCCTTCTAGTCTCTTGGCTCTGCCTCCTCTGAAGTGTCACAAGGTGGCTTCCAGAAACTCTTGGGACTCCTTGCTTTTCTCCCTTGTGATTGGCAAGAAACAGAGATATTGCTGCCCGGTCAACATAAAGAAAAGACACAGAATTGAGACTCATTACCTTTTCCTGACCAATTACCAAACCTGAAGGATAAGATGTATTGATTAGCTTAAGCCAGTTAGCCCCCACTGCTGTAATGGGGTCATTTCTGACCAGATCACATGGCTGGGAAATTCCCAGCACTATTAGGAAGGGGGAATTGGACGAAGGGTGCTGGAGAGACACCAGCAAGTTTCCTGTGGTGTGTTTATCAACCAGTGATATCTCAAACAGCCCATCAGAACTTCTGGCCAGCATGTGAGCTGCACATTAGTGACCTCCAGGATCTTGTGAACTGGTCTCAATGACGACCTCATCTGTGGATGGCCACACTGACCACGTGAGTCGACGTCAGCCCAGCTGTGGTTAGACTTGGCCCAGATGCAAGTTCACCCATGAAGCTTCTAGTTCTCTACTCCCACCCAGCCTTTCAGACATGGCTCAGCTGGAGGCCCAGGTGAACCTCAGACTCCGCAGTTCCCAGGCCTACGCCTGCCCTTTTCAGATACAAGAGGACATCTGTGAGCTGGATTTGGCAAAGAGGAAGCAACAGAGATGTCCACAGCAAAACATGACTGGAACCCCGGCTGCCTCGTTCACTGACTCACCACAGATTTACCAACATCTGTGCCAGGTCGTGTCCCAGGGACCCGTCTTCAAGGAGTCCCAGTGAGGTGGGGAGGCAGTGGTGCCCCAGACCATTACAGTTCAGTGTGGAAACACAGTGAGGCGGGCAGCAGCAGGACAGCGGCAGACCCCTCCCCATCTCGGGCCAGAGGGCATGAATGTCCACCCCAGCACGACCAGCAGCAGGACCACTTCAGCCCAGTCTGCACTCTCCTGGCCCGAGGGAAGCTATCTCTGGTGGCTTCAAGGATCTCACCAAACTTGTGCCCCCCCAGTACAGACTGGGGTGTGTTCAACCCCAGGACTGGGGAGCCAAGTTTCTGCACACCATCAGGGCCTTGCAGGATTCTCTCTGGCCCCTTCAGTGCAGGGGCTTTGGGGCTGGGGAGGAGTGGGAGTGGGGGAAGGGGGACAAAAGCCAACTCACCCTTTTGCCTGTCTTCAGACCCCGCCTCTTCCTAAATCTTCAAAACCAGGTGGGATTCACTGGTTAAGCAAGCACACAGCGAGGCCAAAGGGGTCCCCTGCCACTGTTCTCTCTAACAGACACCAGAGATTCTACTGCTCCTTTGAGTAAGGCATTGCCCTTATCAGGTCCTCAAGTAAGTCACCAGTATTTCTGAGCACCTGTGTGGGTCTGATCTCCCTGTCTCTGGCAAATGGCACCAGGGATGCCTGGGATGGAGAAAGCCTGGCTAGTCCCATTCTCAGCTTTTCCAATATTAACTTGCCATGTGGCCAGAGGCAAGTCCCTTTCCTGCTCTGCCTCTCCATCTATAAAATAAAGGTTCTGGTGGGCTTCCCTGGTGGCGCAGTGGTTGAGAGTCCGCCTGCCGATGCAGGGGACACGGGTTCATGCCCTGGTCTGGGAAGATCCCACATGCCGCGGAGCAACTAGGCCCGTGCGCCACAACTACTGAGCCTGCACTCCGCAACGGGAGAGGCCACAACAGTGAGAGGCCCGCGTACCGCAAAAAATAAAAAAAAAATTTTTTTTTAAATAAAGGTTTTGGGATAATCAGTCTCTATGGGGCTTTCCAGCTCTAACAGTCCAGAATGTGAGCATTCAAGGTTCAGCAAAGAACAGGGAGCAGGGGTGGCTGAACTGGGGTAAGAGGGGGGGCCATCTGGCCAGGACCTCACAGACCAAAAGGATATATATAGCTATATATATAGATATATAGATATATAGGATATATAGATATATACCAATAGAAGTGAACAAAGCCATCTGACCTTCTTACCTACAAGGCCCATGAAATTATATACATATTCTTTTAATAAACTTTTTAATTTTGGAATTAATTTTCAATTTACAAGAGTTGTAAAGATAGTACAGAGAGTTCCCGCATACCCCTCACCTAGTTTCAGTTTCCCCTCATGTGATCATCTCATACCACTGTGGTACGTTTGTCAAAGCAAAACAAAAAAACAAAAAAAAAACCGGTACATCTCTATTAACTAAAATCCAGACCTCATTTGGATTTTACCAGCTTTTCCATTAATGCTCTCTCTGTTCCAGGATCCAACCAGCAACTATACTGCATCCACCTGGCGTGTCTCTTCGTGTCCTCTGGTCTGCTTCTGTCTTTCTGTGCTTTTCGTGACCCTTTCAGTTTTGAGGAGTCCTGATCAAGTATTATGTAGAATGTCCTTCCATGGGAGTTTGTCTGAGGCTTTTCTGTGGGGTTACGGGTTTGGGGAAGAATACCACAGGGATGAGATGCCTTCCTCATCACATAGGGTTGGGGGCACGTGATAGCCACTTGACTTATCATGGGGTGGTGGTAACCTTGATCACTCGGTCAAGGTGGTGTCTGCCAGGTGTCTCCACCATACACTTCCTATTGTTCTCTTTCCCTACTCTGTTATTTAGAAGTAAGTCACTAAGCCCCGGGCACATTCAAAGGAAGAGGAGAGGATAATTAGCCTGGAGAAGGGAGAACCTACATGTGTTATTTGTAAGATTTGTCTCTACCCCGGCCCCACCCAGCTAGTTATTTATTCAACAATTTATTTCTACCAGTACCAACTCAGGGATATGGATTTTATACTTTGGGTTACTATCTAATACTCCATTATCCATTCTATTGCTCTAATTGTTGCCGCTTTGGCCACTGGGAGCTTTTGGCTCCCGAGTCGCTTTGACACACTCCTACCCTTTTGAGTTTGGGGCACTTCCTAACTCTGGCACCACAAGACACTCCAAGCTCACATTTTTCCCTGTCCCAGCCCTAGAATCAGCCGTTTCTCCGAGGAAGTAATATATTTTTAAAACAAACCCTCCAATTATCTTGTCAATAGTCCAAATGTACTGCACTGCATTTGAATACATGATGAAACAGTTCATTTGTTCAACTGAATTTTAAAACATACTTCAATTTTTATAGCTCCTAGTGTGACAAATCTTTTTTTTTTTTTTTTTGGCCATGCCATGTGACATGTGGGACCTTAGTTCCCTGACCAGGGATTGAACCCACGCCCCCTGCAGTGGAAGCACAGAGTCTTAACCTCTAGACTGCCAGGAAAGTCCGACAAGTCTTTTTAAAATATATTAGGAGCCTCAAAACATGGGGGGGATCTGGCCCTTTCTCCATTTCCAGGAGGGCTTGTGGAACTGAACCTCTGCGGCCACACTGCTAAGGCTTGGGGGCAGCCTGCCCACGCTTCCTACAGTGGTGACCTGGCTCCCGTGTCCTTCCCAGTCTGAGCTGCCTGGTGGAGCTACCGAAATCCTAGGTAATTCCTGGGACTTTTCTCTCTCCAGCCTCTCCTCGCCCCCCCGCCCAGGGGGCGACCAGTCCTGGAGCTCTGCATACCCCACTCAGGCTAGCCAGGTGCAAGCAGGTGGCAGGAGAGCAGGAAGGCTCCAGGAAGGAAGTTGGCAAGCCCAGCCACTGAGACGGGCGTTCAAGGGAAGCCGGGGGAGGCGGGGGTGGAGCGGGTGGGCTGAGCACATTAGATACAGAGGGCTCCTGGGGATTCGGGCCAAAGTTTGCAAAATCCAGCTAGAAGTGGAGCAGGGTTTCCCCGGAGCAGTCCTGGGTTCTGCAGAAGAGAGTCAGCTTCTCGGGAAAGAGCCGCCTTCATGAGCCGGAAGAGAGCGAGACTGCGGCTCACTCTGGGAGGACACGGAGCTGCATGACTCATTGCCCAGTCCTGCTGGCTCCCTCTGGCACAGTACTGGGCAGCACAGGGCCTGGGAGTACGGGCGGAGTCCCAGCCCGGTCCTGGCCCAGGAGGCGGTCCAGGCTGGCAATCACAATCCGGCACGTAGGGACATAGGCAGGGGGCTGTGGGAGCACCGAGGAGGAAGCAACTCAGCACCAAAGGAGTCTGGGCAGGCCTCACAGAGGAGGTGACATCATCAAAAAGAGGAATAGGGGGCTTCCCTGGTGGCGCAGTGGTTGAGAGTCCGCCTGCCGATGCAGGGGACACGGGTTCGTGCCCCAGTCCGGAAAGCTCCCACATGCTGCGGAGCGGCTGGGCCCGTGAGCCATGGCCGCTGAGCCTGCGCGTCCGGAGCCTGTGCTCCGCAACGGGAGAGGCCACAACAAGTGAGAGGCCCGCGTACCGCAAAAAAAAAAAAAAAAAAGAGGAATAGAATTGGCCAGGCAGCTGTAGGGAGGGAAGAAGGGGAGGGCACTCCCGGGGCTGAGATAGGAGATGCAAAGGCACGGAAGTGTCTGCAAGGCGCTGGCACAGTGCCTGCTGCCCTGCGAGTACTCCATAAATGCGAGGCATTATCACTGTGGTTGACCTATCATCATTATGATTATTAACCTGGACTCATTACTTAATATTTTTACTACCGTAAAGGTAGTTAATACAATGAATGAATGTCTAAATATACTGCACTTTTCACTGAATTTTTCCCAACTATAAAAGGGGCTGTTCTGAAGATTATGTCTACAGTACACACAGCACTGGGCAGGAGTAGTGGTGAGCAAGTGTGCTGGCACACGGAAGGAGCCTCGTTTTCCCCCTCTCCTGGAGGCCAGCCCCTGGGGGTCCTGTGCCTGGAAGACACAGAAGAAGAGGTATTTGGGGGTCTTTAAAGATGACCAGACAACAAAGCAGGGACTTGGCTAGGTGGGTGGTGGTTTCAAAAGTGACAAAGGTGGCACCTGGTGCCCTGGAATGGGAGCTCCTGGTCCTGGTTGCAAGTCTTTCCAGCTGGGACAAGGCAGGTTGTACCTGCCCTTCTATCCTGTCAAGGTCCTTATTTCAGAAAAAATTGTACCTGTCCCTGGATGGGGCCCTAGCTCTGTGTACCTGCTCCAATCACGGTGTACCTGTTGAGTATTCCTGTCTCAATGCGAAAAGTGCCTGCCTGGGTGTACCTGTCTTGATAACTATGGCTCTGCCTCCAACCGTGTGTGTGGACCAACGCCTGTGTCCCGTACTGTACCTTCGGCGTACTTAGTTAGGTCTGAAAGTACGCGGCTGTACCTGTGCCTGTATCGCCGTACACTAGGTCTGCCCGAGCCTAACTCGGTGCGCATACTTGGTTCAGCCTGGGCTTACCTTACGCCTGCGGGCCGTGCACTCCTGCCCTGCAGATCTCCTCACCGCGGGAGGCTAGAGGCTCACGGAAGAGGCAGCTCCCCGCGGCTCCAGCCCGGATTCCTGGCCAAGCCTGGCGCTCTCGGGCTGCGGGGGCGGGGCCTGAGGCCTGGGCTGTGGGGGGAGGTATGGGGCGGGGATGGGGCGGGGATGGGGCGGGGCGGGGGAGGAGCAGGAAGGGGCGATGGCCGCTCCGCCCCCTGCCGCCCGGGCCCGCTCTCCCCCGCCCGCCCGGCTTCCGCGTCATGGTCCCGAGTGCCGCCCACCCGCCCCGTATAAAAGCGCCGCCGGCCTTGCCCCCGGGACTCGGCCCCATGGAGATGCCGCCGGCCGCGGCTGGCGCACGGCAGGGTGAGGCGCGCGCGACGGGGATGGGGCGCGAGTGCGGGCTTAGGGGGAGGGCGGAGGAGCGGATGGGAAGGGCTTTGGCTGGGACTGACCTGAGCGGGAGGGACGTGGGGCCGGTCGGCTCCGGCCGGCTCCGGCCTCCCCTACCCCCAGGATCCTCCCAACTTAGTCCAAGTCGGAGGATCCTGCGGGTAGGGAGACCGAGGTCCGGAGGGGGAATAGAGCGCTCGCGAGGCTCTGGGCCGGGACACCCTAAGCGTCACCGAGCCTGGAGGCCAACCAGAGTTTCCCAGCAACTTTTCTCTCTGGTGGGTCGCCCCGGAAACTTCCCCTCCCCCGGTCCGGGAGTCCGGCCACGGGCCCCGCGCCTCCTGGCCTGGGCTCCGAGCACTGGGCAGGCGGGCGGGAGGAGGCGATGGCCTCAACGGGGAAGCCCCCCCACAACGCAGTTCCAACCCAGTGGGTTTCCATCTGAGAGCCCCGCCCCGCAGCTGTCGGGGCGCGTCGAGGTCCTCGGAGGCCTCCCAAGACTTCTGGGTCCCCTGGGTTGGCGGGGGGCTGGGGTTGGGGTGGGAGGAGGGGTCAGACTGCCTAAGTTCAAGTCCTTGCGCCATCAGCTAACAGCTGGATGACCTAGAGCAAGTTCGTAACGTCTGTGGCTCAGTTTCCTCCTTTGTATTATGGGAATGATGCTCCCTAGCTGGGAAGGCTTTTGAGAGGATAACAGAGGTAACACGGAAGATGGCTTTGCATTTTGCATACTGCCACCAGTCCGTGTGGTCTCATCCTGTTGGATGGGGCGGGGTCAGGAGAGGGGTGAGAGAGAGAGAGCCATTCCGCATCCCTAACCCTCATGGTTGTCATACAGGAGCTGTGACAAGTGCCTTCCACCAGTCTGAGCTGTGAGTGGCCGGTGGAAAGAGAGGCCCACCCAGGAAGCCACCGCACCATGAGTCTGTGGGAGCTTGAAGACGGCCACAGCTGCCGAGGGACCCCCAGGCCAGCTCGGGAGTCCCCGGCCGAGGAGGCAAGGACTGCGGAGCTGCAGATGAAGGTTGACTTCTTCCGGAAGCTGGGCTACTCGTCCGCTGAGATCCACAGTGTCCTGCAGAAGCTGGGGGTCCAGGCAGACACCAACACTGTGCTGGGCGAGCTGGTGAAACATGGGTCAGCAGCCGAGCGGGAGCGCCAGGCATCGCCGGACCCCTGCCCTCAGCTGCCTCTGGTTCCCCGGGGCGGGGGCAACCCCAAGGCCCCCATCCTGGAGCCCTCTCCCCGCGAGGAGGACAAGGAGGGCAGTGACCTGAGGCCCGTGGTCATCGATGGGAGCAACGTGGCCATGAGGTACATGTCACTTCTGTGTCCAAGACTGTGGCCGGGAATGGTGGCCGTGTGTCTCTGCACCTCTGGTAGAGAGGATTTCAGAAAGGAATTTGACCTCTTCTCCAGACTGGTCTAGAGGAAGGGAAGGCCCTTTATGGAGGCCCTATTGTGTGCCAGGAGGCTCCCTTAATCCTCATGGCTTCTTGGAAGTGGGTTTTAGGGATGTTTGAGGGAGCTCAAAGTGTTGCTCAGGGTCACACGACTGGTAAGTGCCAGAGCAGATTCGAACTCAGGTCCTTCTGTCTCCAGAGCTACCTTATGCTCTTCAAGAGGGATCAGACTGTGGGCTCCAGCTTACTACATAGGAGCCTTCTTTCCTCCTCCATGAGATGGGGATAACCCACCCCCTCAGGTGGTGGTTGTGAGGAGTAAATGCACAGAACCTGGAGAGAAGTAAGGGCTCATTAATCAGTAGTAGTTGTTGTTATTACTATTATTTAGAGTCTGGGACTGCTGAGGCCTTGTCCCAGACCTGGGCTCCCATGGAAGCGGGCCCAGCTACTGAGGCCTTTGTAGCTGTGACCAAGAGTAACCTTGAGGATCTGGCTCTACATCAGGGGTGTGGGTGGGTAGCTTGATGCTTTGGTTCCAGGGGAGCAGTGACTTGGGTCACTTCTGCTGGAGCCACCTGTGCTGGACTGGGCTCTGAGGGCTCCCCAGGGGCCAGAGCCAGGACTCAGCCCCATAACCATCCCACCTCTCCCCTCCGCAGGCTCGGGGGATGGGGGGGGAGGGGTGGCGGGAGGGCTGCCGTGGACCCCAGGGAGCCCAGACTTCCCTTCCATCCAGGCCCTGCCCTCTGGCCCTGCTTTCTCCCAGTCCTTTCAAGGCAGGCTGGTGAGTCAGGGTTGGGTGGATGGTTCACAGGGAAAGGTTCCTGTGAGTGTGGATGGGGAGATCCCATACACAGGTGTGGAGTGGGAAGGGCTCCTTCCCTGGCTTCCCTGACGTCTCTCAGGTGTGCTGCCTAAGGCCTCTATGCCTTTGCCCCCTCTGCCCCTCCCACACCTGGCCCACCTGGCCCAACTCAGCTGTCTGGCTGGTCCTGGCCCAGCTCAGCAGGTGTGCAGGTGGCCCTCTTCCAGCCACTTTTGGGTCAGTCAGTCTTCCCATCTCTGAAATGGACTGAGCCTAGGTGGAAATTGAGGAAAGCTGGCATCCA